ATACATGGGTGCTTGGAAATACTGTACCAGATTTATTTCTCGTGTTGAACATGATATCTTCAATTGAGAATATTTCAATTGAGAATCAAATCATAGAAGTTGTATCCGATTTTAAAGTGCTTGGTCTTAACATTAGCAACAACCTTACGTGGAATAAACATATCACTGAATTAGTCAAGAAAGCCTCCAAAAGGATATATTTCCTTATTCAACTTAAGAGAGCAAAAATCCCAATACAAGAACTAATCACATTTTACATAACCTGTATAAGATCTGTGTTGGACTATGCTGTCCCGGTTTTCCACTACAGCCTACCCAAGTATTTAAGTCAAGATTTGTAACGAGTCCAGAAACGCGTATTTGGAATTATTTATCCCCATTTGAAATATGAGGAAGCTTTAAATCTCAGTGGAATTGAACATCTTTCCACTCACCATCAAAACGGCTGCAAGAAATTGTTTAATGCAATTATCAAAGATTCTAATCACAGTCTACATTACCTCTTGCCGCCAAGGCATAACTCCATCCACGACCTGAGATCTATTAGATCTTTTGACGTTCCAGTTTGTAAAACCAATCGGTTTAGTAATAGTTTTATTATGGCATCGAGTAGCAAAACTGAATAGGTTTTACTCTTCATTTACCTATTTTATATTCTTAATAACTTTTGCATGCTTATTATAAACAGACACTTTTGACAATTTAGTTAATTAATTATAATACTTTGATATATTTCAAAACTCTAATTTTTAATAATTTTTAATTGTAAGTATAATACGCAATTCAGCTCATGGCTGCAATGTATTTACCATTTCTAAATAAAGTATAAGTATAAAGTATAATAAAGTATATCTCACTCGTTCGCTGCGCTCACTCTTGAGATATCATGTTTAACACTCGAAATAAATCTGGTATTTCTGTGCACCCATGTATTATTCTCTATATCACGAGCCGTACTAATATGCCGGCGAAACGCAAATGTAAAGATGGCATATAGCTATTTACAGAGCCATCTAAATCGGCCAAACGAAAATGCAGGAGAATATCTGTCGTGCACCACGAGGACACAAACAAGGTTGAAGGTCACAATCTATATCGAGTATCACATCTACCACATATTGTCAATTACAACTTCCACGGCAAAAAAATAGTGGTTGTAGATTTTTTGTTATATCTCGGTCTTTTAATATTTTCAGAAAAAAACGTGCCGCAATTAATCAAGAGATCTCCAGCCCCTGAATATAAATCAATAAAAATGTAAAAAATAATGAAATCAGACGTGCTTTCATTATATGATGTAACTAAAGGCATACGAAAGAGCCATTGGTTATGAAATAGCCAATCCTATAGGCTAACCACATGTACGCAATGCGTACCTATTTTTAAAACAGTTATGCTCCGGTCGGATTTTTTATATAAAAGGATTTTTTATCAGATTTGCACAGCAGAAAGTTGAACATCTCAGCTTATGTGAATTACGAGTGATATGGTCATCAAAGAAATCGCTATATCAGATGAATGGCAAAATAAATTTAAAAATCCCGACAGACTTTTTTACAACAACTATTTAGCTGTATAAGAATGACATTCTGAAAAATATATCTTAAAACCGGCAGGAGCATATTAAACTCAGAAGCTTGAAGGTATACCGCAATTTTAAAATTCCTGTATAAATCATAAAATACTTTAATTATTGTTTCTCAACTTGGCACATTCTGCAAGCACTAATGAACAATTGGCGAAAACTTGATATTAAGCGTGCAGTAGCGGATTCTTCGCAGAAAGCTACAAAAGGTGTACTGTAACCTTAAGGCAGTGAATTCGTGACCTAGGGAGGGGAGATGAAACATGGTAGTTAGCATCAGGGTGGGTGTTAAATAATAATATAAGTACTAACACAATGAAGTCATATAAACATTTGTGATTCTCGATGTTTCCCCAAATGTTTTCATGTTTGCCCACCCGTGGAAACATTATTGCGGAAACAAAATTTGCTTCCCAGGAAGCAAAAATGTTTCCTACCAAATTCAGAAACATTTGATGTTTCCCTATATTTCTCACTGATGTTTCCTAGTGTTTGCCCACTCTGGGAAACATGGCGAAACATTGGTACAAAACAATGTTTCCGCAACAATGTTTCCTAGTTTGCCCAGGGCTTAAAAATGGCGTTTCCGATTGTCTAGACATGGCACCATTCGCAGTAACCATGCATGGTGGTGCTTCAAATTCAGGTAAAACCGTTAAGTCAGAAACATTGAGGTAAATCTAACCTCACCCCTCCCCACCCCCGAAGGCAAAGTCCTGGCAATGGCCCTGATGATAACAGGCATAGTTGCCCAGACCTTAAAATATCTTTTACAGGGCCGTCTGACAAAATGTCCGATGACGTCGAGTTTGGGTCGGACATATATGTCCGATGACATTCAGTTCAGTTTTAGCTCGGAAATAAGTCTGAATGCCGATACAAATGATTATCAGCAGAATGTATTAATTCTGAATGGTAAATGTTGTGAAGATATTAAATATTAATTTGTTTCTTTCATACTTATATTTCCAAGCCAAAATTAACTTGCTTTCCAGAACAGAAGTAAGTCTTCGACAAGTTAAGCCTGTTTTCCACTTCACCATGGATTTCGCTCCCCGCTCGACTACGTTAAAACAAATTTCCAGTTCACCTTTTATACAATTAACATTACAAGCCTCTAGTCCTGGAATAGGGTACATTTTGGTCGGACAAACAATAAACCTCAGTTTCACTAATTGGTCGGACAGAATGTCCGGTGGTTTTCTCTCTACGTCGGACAATTTCACAAATGGGTCAGACAATGTCTGTGACTGACTGATATTTTAAGGCCTGTTGCCAACTCTCACGGATCCACTGTGAGCATCACAGATTTTACTAGTAATACCTCACGGTCAGCTCACAGGTTGTTAATATCTCACAGATTCTCATGGATTTCGATGATGCTCGCGTCTCCTGTGTCTGTGTCCTGCCTCCAAAGCGCCGGTGTCCGGAGTCTAGTTAAAAACTGCGCCTGCTTGGAGTTAAAAACTGTGCCTACTAATATTTGCATCATACTCGTAGTTTGTTGCGAGAATATAGATCAGTGTCACTGATCGGAGAGTGGTGGCACCTTGTGCGCCCCCCACCAGGGTGCATTCCATGTAAACTCTACGCCGGAGATACGCCAACATAATGCAACATTAACTATAGATAGTATTGTAATTTGTGAAACTTACGCCGGATATCTTCGCACTTTTGTACACAGAATGCAACCTGGGCCCCCCAAAGCAAAAATCTCACAGATGTTTTTTTCCCCAAAGTTGGCAGCTATGACTTGGGCAAGGAGCTTGGATTCCCTATTTTTATACACACTATATTATATATAGTGAATAAACACACGTGTGTATATCCCAAATATATAAAACCTAATTTCAAATTTGTTACATTTCAAAACGTTCCTGTTTAATAGAACCCTGAGACATATTCAAACTTGTAAATTTTACCTTTAACTTGTTCCAATAAACCTTCAGGAATTTCTAACTTTTGCTCAAGTTTTTGCTTCGGTTTTCTCATGGTAAAAGAATAAAAAATTTAGAATTAAAAACATGCTCTCACTGATTCAAATCTTCCAATTTCCAAACCTTGGAGCCCGCAGAAATTTGGCGGGATACTTGTAATGTACTTCATGTAAATGTAGCTAGAGAAACATGATTCAACGCCATTGTTGGCATGGAAACATGCAAACATTGTTTGGAAACGAGTAGTACTGGTACCTAAATACCGATAACTTTATTTAAAATTTGAGAAACAACAACAAATTCCAAAATTCAGTAGTAAAAATGACAAAAAAGAAGAAAAGAGAAAAACATTCAGGATTATCCTTGGTAAATATGTAAAATCAATTGCTTTATATTAAAATAACAGGACTAAGGACTTTAGATCGATTCGTTCAAGTTCAGTTTGGTATAATAAAATGTATTATATTTGAACACTTGTTGAATTGAACTCGAAACTCAGTCTCAGAACTGTTTGACAGTCCCAGAAAATACAGTAATATTGGCCATTTTAACCACCTTATTTTTAATACAGTCTTAATCTCTCTTTGTTTGAGTTCAGAGTCACCTCACTATACAGTCTAATTTACTATCTACTAGACACTGAATATATAAAGTGCAGACATATTAATAAGAGCTATGGGATCCATTTCTTGACTTGAGGCCTGTTTATATGATCCCAGGCGGGACGGAATGCTTACCGAGATGCCGCTCGTAATACAAATTCTAAAGGGTGTTTATATGATCTCGCCACTTATCCCGCCTAGACGGGATCTCGGTAACAGATGCCGGGATCCTGCCTAAGCGAGATGAAAAATTCTCATATAAACACTTCATCCCGTCTAGCTAGGATGAAAAATTCCCATATAAACACTTCATCCCGGCGAGGCCGGATGAATTTTTCCCTTTTGAGCATGCGTAAATGCTTTTATTGCAACAAAAATATGACGTCAAGCACTTAAATGGCTTCATCCCGGCAATGTATTTTGTCCATATGATTGTATAAACACTAGGAGAGTATCCCGTCTAGGCGGGATGAAAACGTCCCGTCTAGGCGGGATTATAAACAGGCCCTTGATTAAGTCTAATGATCTTGCAAGATCTTTGCAAGTTCTTGCAGGATCTTACCTAAGATCTTGCAAGATCTTGCCAAGATCCTGCACGATCTTACCAAACATTGTGTAAGATCTTGCCATGATAATGGCAAGATCCTGCAAGATCTTAGATAAGATGCTGCATGAACTTGCAAAGATCTTGCAAGATCATGCAAGATCGCGCGATCTTTCCATGATCTTGCAGGATTTATGTATTATTTACTAAGATCTTGGCATGATCCCCCTCCAAGATCTTACCACAAGTCCTGCAAGATGGATTTGGCACACAAAGTTGCGAAAGCAATCTGTGCATGAAAAAGCCTCCTTTCACAAGGATCTTTCAAAATCATGGCAAGATTATTCGAGGATCTTGGCAAGATCATGGTGGAATCTTGGGAAGATTGTCCAAGATCATGGTGGAATCTTAGCAAGATTGTCCAAGATCATGGTGGAATCTTGGCAAGAATGTCCAGGTCCATCACAATCTTGCCAAGATTCTATTATACTCTTGCCAAGATTGTGATAAGATCTTTTTTTAGCAAGGATCATGGTGGAATCTTGACAAGATCCTCCAATATCTTGACAAGATTACAATATAGGATCTTGGCATTAGATTTTGGTAAGATCTTGGCAAGATCATGGTGGAATCTTGCCAAGATTGTCCAAGATCATGGCAATTAGATTATGATAGAATCTTGCCAAGATTGTGATTAAGATCTTGGCAAGATCATGCTGGGATCTTGGCAAGATCAAGATCAGGTCTTGACAAGATCTTCCGATCGAGACCATAGCAAGATTATGGTTAGTATGATCTTGGCAAGATCATGTTGGAATCTTGGCAAGATTGTTCAAGATCATGGCAAGATTATGATGGAATCTTGGCAACATTGTGACAAGATCTTAGCAAGGATCATGGTGGAATCTTGGCAAGGTTGTGGTAGGATCTTGACAAGATCTTCCAAGATCATGGCAAGATTATGATAGGATATTGGCAAGACTGTGATAAGATCTCGGCGAGATCATATACGGAAACGTTGTGTGTAAATGTCCATGGTCAACTGAGATCAATTAGCAACATGAGAATTAATACCTAAAAGCTGAAAGGGATTTAATCTTCAAATCTAAAAAAGTTTATTTTAGTAAAGAGTTTTATAATGGTATGAAAACTTTAAAATTTATTAACCAGCTCGTTCAAAATTGTGAATTTGAATATATTTATACCGGTACGATTTGTTTGATCAAGGTTTATAATTAAATATTATACCTATACTTATGAAGGTAGAAAATGCAGCAGGAAGAAATATGTATATAAAGAAAAATCATGAAAGATCTTAGCAAGATCTAATTTTGTCAAGAATTTTAGACAATCTTGGTAAGATTTTGGGAAGTATGGCAAGATTGAATAATATTGGCAAGATATTGGTTATATTATTATTATTATTATTATTAATGGTTTAAGATACACACCTTCGCAATAGATTGAATTATGGTGCGTTTACAAAATTGGTACGCTATATATTTACATATATAAAAAATTTAGTTGCATGCATCAAGTCTAAAAATCTTATTGAATTGCATTAAAATCATCGTAATTAAGTATCACGCTTAAGTTTCTTTACTATAACTATTATATATAGAGCTACTGTACTGGGAAAAAAGCTACGGCGATATCTTTCTGTTCGGCATTTTATTGTTGTTAATGTGTTAGAGTTTCTAAGTTCATAATCATTTGAACTAGCCCTAGACAATGGAACATATTTTGACAGTGGTCCTTCAATTTCTATGCGTTTCATAGTATTGAGGCAATGTCGTTCTCGCCTTTCATCCAATCTGGAACACCCAAGTTGTGCTAATGCTTCCCTATAAGAGTAACCCGGTAAAATGATCCTCAGCGCTCGTTTTTGCACTCGCTCTAAATCATCGGCGAGGTACAAAGGTAGGGCATGATGCCATACCACACAACAGTACTCCAGAACCGATCGTATTAAGGCAAAGTATATACTCAATAAGTCTTCCGCAGGGACACCACCTCGTCGTAATATGCGGATGATATATAAACGTTTAGAAGCCTTGGATACAACTGATTCTATGTGTGCATTCCATTTAAGATCGTTTTGGATAACCAGACCTAGGACTTTATGAGACCGCACAACCTCAAGCGCATGACCGTCGATCAACAATGGTGATAGATCAGGTGATTCCCGCAGAAAGCAAACGCGTAGTTCTTTGCACTTTTTGGGGTTAAGTTTCATAAGGTTGCACGAAGCCCAAGAATTTATAGTATCAATACAGAACTGAAACTTTGAATTGCTGCCCTTTGTGATATTTTCAGATGTTGATATGTCATCCACAAATTTCCAAATATCCGTTGCGTGTGGTTTCACATCGAGATCATTTATCATCGCCAAAAACAGAATTGGACCGAGTTTAGTTCCCTGGGGGACACCCGCATTCATTGGCAACCAGTCTGACGTTTTCCCTCCAAGTTTGACCCGATGACGGCGGTTAGTTAGGAAGTTGATAATCCAAGGCAACAGGGACGATCTAACACCTAGGTCCAACAGCTTTAATATTAGTAAATTATGTCCTATACGGTCAAACGCCTTTTCGAAGTCAAGGAAACAAAGTCTAAGATGTTTTTCAGGACACTCTAAGTTGCACAACCAAGTGTGGATCATGTCTAAAAGACAATAGGTTGTGGATGTTCCTTTCAAGCATCCAAACTGCTTGGGGTCGATCTTGTCTTTAATATCGGTTATCATCCACCCGACCACGAAATCTTCAAGAACCTTAGCCAGGCAGGGTGTCAGTGAGATGGGTCTGGTGTCACCTTCACAGGTAGGAGGTTGTGATTTTGGAACTGGTATGATGTCTGAGTCTTTCCATATTGCAGGCACGATTCCAGATGAAAGTGATTCGTTGAAAATAGTTGCAACAGGTTCGGCTAATTCATGGGCAAACTCTTTCAGGATACGACAGGGGACGTTATCTGGGCCGTGAGCTTTAAAAGGTTTAATTTCTAAGAGCTTTTTAGATACTTCATGTGGTTGAACTGTTGGAGCAGGTTCTTTGGCCGGAAGAAATGCCGGGAGTGTCGCTAAATTAAGTGGTGGAATGTCACTATTCACCGATGCATAGAACACATTCAAAGCTCTAACTAATTCTGATTGATCCAGAGTTCTTCCATCATGTTCAAGCGAGAAGGAGTTCTTTCCAGATTTTCCTGCCATTTTATTTACGATTTTCCACCACATACGGCAGTCATCCTTCTTTAAATGTTGTACCTTTGTTTTGTAGTACGATATTTTCCTCGCATTGATTTCATGTTGGACCTTATATTTCAACGATTTCCACAAGATTGTATTATGACCATGAAACGCCTTTTGTCGATATTTGATAAGCTGTTTTATTGCAGGTGTTATCCATGGTTTATCGGTGTGATGACGTGTTGACGTCTGTTGTGGGAAGATTCGGTCAATACTTTCTGTTAACTGGTTTGTAAACGAGATTGCCAAGCTATCAACAGTAGGGTTGGGTTCAAGGTCACAAAACCAATTATGTGTGGTAACCCATCTTCCGAAAGCATCTATTCCTGATCTGGGATAGCGCCGTACTAAGGATTTAACAGGTTTTGCTTGGATGTTGTGGCTGGGAATGCTATCGACTGAAGGTAGCCAGTGTACAATATTATGGTCACTGGATCCTAATGGAGCAAGGACATTAGGGCGGTCATATAAATTATACAGGTTTGTAAGAATAAGATCGAGTATTGCTGATTCTCTAGTGGGTTGGTCAACAACTTGTTTAAGATTTTGACTGGTGGTCAAACTGCGAGTTTCAAGATCATTAAAATCACCCATAATTACTAGACCAAGGTCAGGGTGGTTATTTCGAAGTAGGTCAATAGTGTTAATTAAATGTTCATTAAGATCACTGTGTTCCGATATTGTCAGACCAGGTGGGTGATACACGACACAGATAACGATACCGGATAGAGGTCTAGGGAGGCGTTTCGGTCGAATGCTCAGCCATAAGCATTCTAAATTCTCACTTTCTAGGTCTACCCGTCGTATACAGGGGATGTCTTTTTTAATATAAGCACAAACTCCGCCACCTCGTCCAATTGCGCGATCTTTACGGAATAAATTGTAATCGTTAATTGACAATAAGCTGCTGTCTATGTGTTCGTGTAACCATGATTCAGTTATTGCGATAATGTCAATGGGCTTGAAACTTAGTAATGCTGTCAATTCGTCCAGCTTTGGAAGGAGTGAGCGGGAATTAAGTAAAAAGAAACATGGGAGTATCATTTCTTTGTTAACCTTATAAGCATGGTTTAAAGTTGTAATATGGATTAGGTTGGAGGAGGGAAAATAGCA